CCTTCTCCACAGGGCTGCTCCCAATCCCCTTATCCTCTGGCTTATACTGATACCAGGGGTTGCCCCAGCCCAGGCACAGGACCCTGCACTTGGCCCTGTTGAACCTCATGAGGTTCTTATGGGCCCACCTCTCAAGCCTGCCCAAGACCCTCTGGGATGGCATCCCATCCCTCAGGCGTGTCCGACTGCACCACTCAGCTTGGTGTCATCTGCAAACTTGCTGAGGGTGCACTCGAGTCCCCTATCTATGTCACTGGTGACGATGTTAAACAGTACTGGTCCCAGTACAGACCCCTGAGAATTTGAGGAGTATTTGTAATAATTTCACCATCACTGGGTAACCTAGGGATGGGTGCCTTTTTAAATGTCATTTTTCCTCTCCATTCAGCCACCTAGCGCATGCAAAACTCTGTTGGAGACGCTCCCATGCCCATCCTTTTCTAGCTTAATACTCTGTCCTTAACCAATAGTTTATGATGGGCTTTTTAAATCTAGTACTAATTTGAGCCACTGTAGACTTTTGATATCCTAAAATGCACAGCAGGAAAACTTACGTTCTGGAATTTGGTTTGAGCTTCCTTTAAGTTTCATTTCATACTTCCTGCTTGAGGTTTGGAAAGAGACAGAGCAAGTGGAAAACTCATCCCCTGTTAAGCATCTGCGTGCCACTGAGGTAATTTAAAGACTTGCCCTACTTACTGTGCTCAGCTACAGCTTTTTCAAGCTGACAAACCCTAGCATACGTAGGCATTCCAAATACAATCCTTTCTGATATTGGGAGTAGGGCAAAGGAGGCCAGGGCTACTTTGAGCATTCAAATGTGGATGCTGCCTTGTTTTATACACTAGCACAATGACGTTTTCTGTTCCATTCTGAAGAAAACCAAAATGCCTGCAGGCAGAATTTGCAGGTGCTCTTCTAGAAGACATAGTCTTCCATAACCAGAGTCTTGGGAAGGAGGAAAAATGCTGGAACAGGTAACTGGCAAGGCAGAGGAAATGAAATTACTCGAAATTCATCATAAATCAATGTAAAGGGATGCACAAAATTACCAACCTACCCTAGTCAGAAGTCAATTATGGGCTTTGCAGTAACTGTCACTGCTTGGGCATTCTGGATTATTGCAGCTAGCTCTGCAAAAACTCAGTGGTCAGCAGCAAACCAAACAGTAAATACAGTGCTGGTTCCAGGGTGTACCAAGTTTGAGCAATGCAGGCTTTTTCAGTACCTTTACCCTTGATCTCAAAAGGATGTAGTAGAATGGGAAGTATGAGGAATGGCAACGTTGTCCAGAAGGTTATGGAACAGCTCCCAAAGAGTGGTATCTTAGGCTTTTCAGCACAGAAAAAAATGGAGAGAAGATAGAGGTGTCTGAATTAGCAGCTGGCATATAGATACTGATTCGCTGCTGCTTTGAAGACAGGGTCAGGGGTATCAAATGGCACCGTCAAGAAGATAGGTACAAAGGAAAAAAAGGAGGTGGTTTTTCACAGAGCAAGCAGTTAAGATGAAAAACTCTTTGCCTCAGGAAGTTACACACCAGCACTTTACATCAAGTCCATTAACTTACGAATTAACAGAAGACAAAAACATAAATCTAAAAGGTAAATAAATGATCTGTGGCTCAGGAAGTTGATGAAGTGCAAATTCTGATTTTACACTTTCTAGAGGACCTCAGCTTAGAATCCCATATGACTGATTATGGCTCCCTGACCGGTATGACTAGACCACATGGACTCAGTGGCAGAGCAAAGGCCTAACTTTGTGTTTGAGGGATTGATCTTCACTGAGTGCCTAAACTCTCTGGAATTCCACAAATCCCTCTAATGTGAAAATTCTTTAGTGTAAAACTCAGAACGTTCTGTAACTACAAACTGTTCTTTACCCACAGCAGGTTCTGAACCGTTCTGATCTAAGGCCAGCAGGACAACAGTACGAATTCCTACTCCCAGGGAAAACAACCTCCATAACATCAAGCTCTAAATTAATGCCTCAAGGAGCAGTGTATGGAAGTAATAAACATGAACATTTAAGAAAGTGTACATCAATAGGTTTAAAATTTTTTTTATTGTGCTGCCAAGAGCCAAATTACAAGAAACCGCCTGACAGTTAAAAAAGTAAACAAGCAAT